GCCACGGGTCTGAGAGAAACACCCGCTGGAAAGTGCCTCTTCTAAATCCGGTGAGACACGAGAGACCAAAGGAGGCAGAAAGTAGCAAAGTAATCCTCTTGTCTTCTTAAGCTCGCTTTCCAAACGTCCTGATGACAATGAATTTCTGTTGTTCCATGCATACATGGTTACGAACTGCTGGATTTTGGAACAGGAGGAGACTTTTAGCCGATAAAATGTCTGAATGTAAAAATTGTCAGAAAGGAACTTGAAGTTCCTCTTTGGACATGGTTTTCTGGGGTATTTTTGATGTAATCTACCTTTGGCAGTGTTTTTTTGGTTTTGGATGTGGGAGGCATTTCTGATATTTTCCTTACTGGTACCATTAGGAAATTTGAAATCCTTCCCATCCTTAAGGGCTGAATAAAATGGTCTGGGCCAGGAGAGCAGGTCCCGGGTGAGAATGAGCCGGAGCATCACACGAGGGGGGGCAGGACCCCCAAACCCGAGGGATGGACACGAAGGAAGGGCCACGGATGAGACGTTTGGACATCAGCGGATGCAGAACCATCGGTGTCCGTGTTTGCCCAAGCCACGAGGCTGCCGAGGCGCAGGGGTGACCCTGCTGAGCATCACTCCTGCCGAAGCACCGAGAAACCCAAAAAAGCCCCAAACCGGCTCAATCCCAGGTGAGCATGATGGTTGGCTCTGGAGAGGGGACAGTCACCTTGCTATGCCTGCACCCCCTTTCTCATCCGTCTCACATCTCTACTGCAGCTGCCACCACGGCTCCTCTGTCTCCTTCACCCTCTGCTCATCTCTCCCGTTTCCACCTCCTCGGGCTGTTCGGGGTCCGTCGTTCCCACTCCATGGCTGTGCCCCGTGACTCTGCCCGGCGGGATGTGAGGACACAGAGGCTGGGGAGACGTTTGCTGTCTGGGTCCAGCGCTGTGACCCTGGGCAAGGGACTGGGTCCCCTCCTGTCCCCGCCGCTGCAGGATTTCAGAGGAAGGCACATCACCCAGGGTTTATACACAGGATCCAAATAACTGAGAAATCAGGTGCTCCATAAATACCGATTTGAAAACCAGATAGGCAAAAGCAGCAGAGGAAGTTTTATTCTCTGTGTTAATATAAACTCTGCTCCAAGGATCAGGAATACAGGACTTTCTGCCTTAGAAACCCTTCTTCTGCTCCATTTAAAAAAAAATTAACCAGTGCCTGCTCCTGGACCACATCTTGCTCAAAATAGTGTCCCTAACTTTGACAGAAGGACAGAAAATAGGGAGCTGCTGCATCAGCAAAGTTAGTGATGAACAGAACGAAGCGCGACGTACCAGGAAGAGCTGTACACATTCATAAAGACCAGGTGCCAGCAATATTCTGAGCTGGAAATCCTGAGATAGGAACAACTCCGAGCGCTCGCTGCATTGCTGCGATTCAGACACAGAACGAACCATTGCAGCTCACAACTCTGGTTTCATGAATGCTTTGCCTTTCTCTGGAGACATCTAAAGCTCAGCCTCCCATTACCAAAGCTCCGTTTCACCGCTAGGAAGCGTCCAGCCGAAACCACCCATGTCGGAGCCGACACAGAGACACTGCGACCGAGACACAGGAAGAATAACTCGGCTCTCGCTGCCGTGCGTGAAGCAGGGCGGGAAGTCGGCTCCAGAGCAGCAAGTTTAACTACGGGACTGCATTTGTTCACACAATCGTAAGCCCAGGATCAAAAGAAACACGGGAAATAAAAGGGGGAGGCAGCTAGGTGTAGGAAAGGGTTCAGCCTCACTTTTACAGCCACACTTGGCTCTCAAAAAAATTACTGGCTCATAGTGGACAAAAACAAGAGCTAAAAGCTTTAATCCAAGATGAGTGTATAGGCAGCAAGAGGAATTCCTGCACAGCCAGGAGCCTTCCTGGCAAGCTTTCCCTCCACGTCTGAAAGTACAGCGAAGGCTGTCATCATTCCTCTGCTGAGCTGACAACAGTTGCAGCCACAAGCAACGTTACAAGCTACTATGGAAGGCAGAATAAAAAATTAAAAAAAAAATCTGTTCCTATAAACTCCCATCCCTGGAGCTTATCCAATCTCTTGTCGAGCTGCAGGATGGAAGCTGATGATGAACAGAAACATTTTTGGAAACCTCCCTGCATGCCCTAACATCAGGCTAACACCCCACACCTCACCCCAAATTCCAGCCCAGGAGAGAGGCCAGGACCAGCAGCTACTGCAGGGCAGAAACCAGCCCCCCCGGACCCCAGTGTCTGTCCTTGAACCTCGCTCCCGCCCTGCCACCCCTCCCCGCCTCCTGAGGGATGATCCCAACGCTCACCCCAAGGACCGGGGGATAAACCTGCTTTTAAAAGTAGTTTATTTGGATTTTCCACATCCTTTAATGAATCGCAAATATATTAACAGAAAAGACTTTTTTTTTCTCTCTCCTAAGACTGTACAATTTTTGAAATAAAAAGTCAGGAAAAGCAAAAAAAAAAAGGAAAAAGACAAATTACATTGTTTCAATGCAAACAGTACACACCACACCCACACTTTGCATTTTTCCATAGTTTTGTTGTAAGAAAATTACGGTTCCCTAATTATTTTCAGTGAACACACTTGCTCTAACCCGGCTGCCAGAGTGCCTTCGTGCTCACCGTCCTCCTCCCTGCCCCTCGTTGAAGAGAGCAAAACTTTATTGATTAATTACTAATTGCGTTTCTCTGTTCCGCAGGTAAAACAGCAGCACGGTCTAAATGGGACTTGAGACTCTTGGGAAAAAAAGAAAAATCACTTTAAGGTATGATGTGCATATAAAGCAAGGGACAGCTAAGTATTAAATCTTGGAGGCAGCATGAATACCCTTTTAACAGCCCAGCTGAATTCTGAGCTCCTTCCAGGGCGTTGAAAAATTTTACTATGATTGTTCACAATTTCTAGAAAACAAAAGGGAAAAAGCCACCTCAGTTCCTAGATCTCTGGTCCCCATTTAAACAACAGCATTTGTTATGGAGAGTAGCACCTGCTTACTCCTGCTTTTTCCTTTAACACATTAATTGGTGGCATTCACACAAGCGCTGCCTCCAGACCTTATGCCGAGGTGCTGCCTGGAAACTCCTCTGTGCATGGGATGCGCTGGGAAGCCGTGAACAGAAAGCGACGCCGGGAGAGACACGGGTAACCCAAGAGCACAGTGCGGGAGCTCTGCTGGAGATGCAGATCAGCTCTCGGGAAATCTGAGCCCTGCGTCTTCCTCGGTGAGGACTTGTCAGGAAACGGAAGCGCCCCAGAATAATCTATCGCCACAAAAAGATTCAGTATGCTCAAGCCAGCAGAAACACACCGTGATTTTCCAAGTCAATTCATCACCTTCCAGACACAGCCGATGAGAAGTACAGGGCAGAGGCACAAAGCTCCTTGACTATATTATCATTCCTCAGATTTTAGAAATTCCTTTTCACACTATTAGAGGAGTTTAAGCTTATTTTTCACTGCTTATCCTCCTACTTATAAAAAAAATATCAGAGAATTATATTTTTCTCAGCACTTGAGGATGATTTTTCAGAAGATAAATGTGTCCGTGTGGCTGATGACCAGAGAGGAACTGTGACAGGAGACGTGCCTAGTGTAGGACAAGGACAGAATTTAAAAAATTGAAGTTCTAAAGGTAACTAAAAGATCCCTAAAAACCATTACAAAAAAAAAAGAACATTAAGACTGATCACAACAAAGATGTTGCTATGAAACTGATATCATTCCCAATTTATTATGCATAAATCGCTCTTTAAAACTGCTCATATCATACACTTTCTTTATCATCACTGCATAAAGGGCACCACTTGTTGCTGCAGAATGCTACAGAGAAAGATCAGTTTGGACTCGTTATCACAGACGCAGCCTCTGTAAAGAGGAAAGTGTCCCTAGGGGGAGAATCTTAAAGAACAGCTTGGGAGGGGGGGAAAAAAAAAAAAAAAAAAAGGAGAAAGACAGATAATTGCACATTTCTGCATCCTGCTTGGACCACACTTTACAAAACAGTTTTAAAAGTGTACTAATCGCAGACAATTATTTGATGCGGTTGACACTAAGGTTCTGATTGTATTAAGGCTTCCACGGTCCTCCCCGGCTATCTGCTCAGAAACAGGCGGTCGCTCTGGGTAAGGGCTGGATGCTTTCACATTACGGTTGTATCTACGTTTCTCTCTTGATTTTGCCCTTTATTAATCTGTAGTCTTAAAAGGGGAAGAACAAGTCACGGAGTACATGAGAAATGAAGCAAGGTGTTGCTGCCTTTGTTTCTTTGAAGTACAAAGTAAACACTGACCTTTCCGAAACTAGGTGAATAAATTAAATTCCCGGTTAGAACATGAAAGCATTTCGGGAAAGCTTTGATTCTGCAATGGGATTCTCCTGCTACATTTCCTGCACTGGACATTTTACGGAGCCTGACCCACTCCCAGTCCCGAGCACGTGCGTTGGGTTTGTTCACTGCAGACACCGCCGCTCGAAGGTCATTTACATTCCCTGGCATTTCAGTTACACTACAAGATGCAAAAGTCTTTAACAGCCTGCATTTGTCAACACTGTCCTTGAGGAACTTGGAAATGAGGTTCAGCACTCTGCTTACCAAGAAAGAACCAAACTAAGACACATTTCTGGAAAAAGAACAAGACACTGTTTCATTAGTACTATCCCCACATCTACTGGCTTTGTTACAGCAAACCACAAGTCTTTCTTCCATGATATTTTTTTTTTTTTCCAGCAAAGGGGAGTCCAAAAATAGCATTTCCTCCTCAGTCACTTTCATAAATGTCTAAGAGCCAACTAGTCAGACTCAGCAGCAGCGGAATATTGCACTGCCATTAACTCAGGGTACGGGTACAGTCCGAGTGGTGTACTCATGGTGTCGGTGGAGAATAATGACAATGCTGGCTCAGTGATGTGAAGACCCGGGATGCGAGGGAAAGGGGAGAACACAACAGTACCAGTCACACACTCAAGCTCAGATACTGGCTTTTGGAGGTTAAAATTCATCACTTTCAACTGCGTGGAGCTGCGTGTCGTCTGCATCCGTCATGCTGCTCTCTTGGGATTCGTCTGTGCCAACTGGAAAGAAAAAGAAACATAAAGTAGTCAAACGCGGCTGGGCTGCTTCGCTGCAACGCTTCCCCCACAATCAGCTCCAGCACGATGGAAATCCCAGCAGCGATGGGTTTGGGCTTCCCCTCAGAATGCTTTAAAGCCAAAGGGCTTTTCCCTTTTCCATCTAATACACTGACACCTGCCAGCTTAATCAAGTCTAAAGAAGTGTATTTAGAAAGGAATTAACACAAAGTGCATCTTAAACACGCTGCCTTAGCCCTGTTCCATTATAAATCGGAAATCTCCGACACCAGGTAGGTGGGGAGTGGTATGGATGGTCCCAACAGTTTCTGATGCTGAAGAATTACTCTGCTCGCTCAGCTCAGAGGATGGCTGGCCTAGAGCTTCCAGGAAAACTGGATTCTTGCGGCTATTTGAATAAAGCACGCTGTGCATGGCGTGATCTCGAGATAAATGTGTACATACGGAGAGCCTGCCCTGAAAATATTTAACTTCTATACTTGTTAAAATTTGAACAAAGGCAAATAATCTAATGATGGTTGCTCTTCACACCCAGGAACGCGACTTGAGTCTGCCTTCCGCATACTAACTGTAAATTCCCAACTACTCAAGTCATTCCACATGGAGAAACACAAACAGCTGTTACTGCTGCAATGCAAACACTTCCCAGGTTTCTGTACGATGGCCACAGCCAGTCCCGTGCTCGGCAATTTAACGCCCAGAACGCCTTACACTGGCCAATCTGTTAGAAACAATCCCCCCTGCCTGCAGTGCTGCCTTAATTCACCTGAGCTTGTCTCATGGATCCTAAAAGAGTTCTTCAGCTGAGACTGGGAAACTCTTCCACAATTTATTGGCACAGCCAGGGAAATGGAATTGCTTACACACAGCCCAACACTCTTATTTTGTTTACATTTATTGGACACATTATTAGTTTTTTTCTTTTTCTTTCATTTTTGTTTGTTTTGCATTATGGTTTGGGTTTTTTTTTTTCTTACTTTTTTTGAGGTGTGGCTTATGTTTTTTCCCCTGTACTGCTTAGGTGTTGCTCAGCAGTTCAAGTTCTCTGTCTCCATCTCCTGGTCAGAACCAAGCTCAGCCCCCACCTACTACCCAGAAACCAAACCCTGCTCTATTTTCTGCTTTGGAATTCAATTGCTTGTTGGTATTTATTTTCTATCAGTATTTCAGCCTGCATCAAGGAGGTCAGTATTTATGACTATTTAGAGTTACCTGTGCTTCATGGAATTCAAGCTCATAATAAAAAGTTTGAGAGAAAAGAGAAGAGAAACCCAGGCCACTCCTTTTTGGGGATTATTCCTAACAGGAGTGTTTTATTTTCTCTTGATTCAAATGAAACCGCTTCCACGACTTACCAAAAGCTACCTTTTACGTTTAGCAGGCCAAATATTTTCACCCAACATCCTGTTTAACTCTTGCCAAAGCCTCTAGACAATTTCAGTTGCCATTCAGTTACCTTGAAATGACTTGATGCGTCTATAAGGGAAGATTTGTGGCTCTGGGAACATCTTCCTCTCCTGGGATACTGTTAGCCAACTACAATTTGTATGAATTTACAGTAGGCACCATCTCTGTCCTACTCCATCTACAGATGCTAAAGCAGTGTCACAATCCTTTATTTCATGCTTACTGTAGGAAGGATGAATGAATTCTTCCCAATGAAGAGCCTTTGGAGCTCCTACTTGCCGAGCAGCGAGGTTAAACCGTATGTTTCCCTTATTAAGCCCGAGATTCTTCCTACCACCTACGTGGAAATACCTCCTTGAGTGACAAAGGGCTGGAAATACAAACCTGATTCATAGGGGTAACATTCACTGATCTGCTCTTCTTGAGTGATTGGCTCCTCATCGTCGGGAAGGTAACGTTTGTCAATGGCCTCTTTGATCTGGTTATTGGCTCCTTTGGGATCTAAGTCCATTGCCCAGGAGAAATTCATTAGGGCCAAATGGGTTTGACCCAGTTTTTTATAAACCTAAAATAAAAGCATAAAATGCTACATTTACATGAAGTTGCTACTTGAAGGTCTGGACAACAAACACACCAAGCCACAGGTAACTGGTATTTCATCAAAAGCAGCAGAGGGTAGATATGAAAGATTTATTCTACAAGTCCCAAAGGAACCAGCAAATGTGTAGAACGAGTGAGCAAGTGTTTCTATTTAAGACTCCAAAAAATTTCAATTAAACTAGCAGCTGACAGCTTCAAAAACATAAGGAGGTGGATCTTCAGATAGAAATTTAAGCTTTGGAACTCCGCAGCAGGGTGGTGTCAATGCTATCCCTGTACAAGTTTTGTTTTGTCTTGTCCCCTCACCAGCATTTCAATATCTTGAGTCATGGGAACCCCAAATCTGCCTGTGTCTCAAGAAAAGCCCAAACTCTCCGGCTACGTGCCACTTCTGATACAACAGATTAGAATGTGACTCAAGATTTGAACAGCCACATCCGCAAATAACCAGCACTGCTGGCTGATGGATGGACTATCCCTGAACATTTTAAGGATTTCCACTGATCACATCATTGCTATTGTACTGAATCATGTCTCGACAGAGTTCCTTTTTCAGGGAAGGATATATGACAGTGGTTATGCACACGGCATCTTTTTTCAGCGAGGTATCTTTATCAGGATCAATTTATTGCTTTTTAAAATTAATTTATCTTTCAAGCTGACAGCAGTGAAATCAAAGCAGGCAAAGAATAACACTGGCTTGGCTTATTTTTTCTTGGTTTCTTTTAAAGCAAGCTGAAGGCTGCTCCAGTAATAACTGTCTCTTGCATGTAAAAGCTGATACATAATAAAGCTGGGAGCAGTAAGCCTCATTTAAAACTCTGGGAATTTTTAGAATACAGCTCCAAATGGAAGCAGCTTGGTGACAGGCACCAAATTTTCTCATTAGGCGTACATTTCTGCAACAAAGGAAACCAGAGGACTTAGATCACAGTTCAGTTTTACCTACCTTTCCTATTAAAAAGTAAACAAGAGACTCTTTGGGAACAATCTGTTTCAGTTCTTCAAGTTCTTGTAAAGCAGACTGAAAAGGAAGAAAAAAAAAGAGTTGTAAGTACAAGCCAGCAGTCTGCAACCAGTTATGATGTCATTAAACTGATTTAGCACTGATGAGAAAAAAACCCTGGCATTTACATACAGCATATTCCATCAAGAACAACGGTGCAATCTCACGAGAAGCATCTAAAATTCCTTTTACATTAGTTTCTCATTTGAAGATTGGAGCATGTTATAGCCCCATTATTACAGAAATAAAGCAAGTTATAGGGCTTCAGGCTCCTGCAACACACCTAACGGCTCTGCCATAACAAGGGCTAACAGGGCAGAAGAGAATCTGAGATACCGAGCTCCTGAAGGATATTGATGTATTGGGTGCTGCGTGTCCTGCTCTCAAGCCTGGGCTTTTGAAAGGTTCTGCTATCACACTATCCAAGTTTTCTTTGTACTGGTGCTAAAACCCAAACTATTTCATTCAGTTTCATGTAGTTTATTGAACAGCGTAACTTTAGTCTGACAGGTCTCAGCCTGATAAAGAAAAGAGTCCAAAGGTTTTCGTTCCAACCTTCACCATGGTCAACAAGTTCCTTCACTAGTGCAGGGGCAATCAGGCAGTGGAGTATTAGATTTATGTTTTCCCTTCTTTTATTTATCCTCTGCTTTTAAATTTTAAAGTTAATCTACAAATGGGCACTTCATTAAGCCCTTAACCTTAATAAATTTTCTATTTAATTGGTTCAGTTACGAATTTTCAAAAAAAAGCTGATATCCCTGATGCTACCTAGTGTTAATCTGTAAAAGTTTAGCTTCCAGCGCATCCCCACTCCTCGCAATTTAAAGATAACTTCAGGTTGTCTACATGTACCAAATCTCACCTTGTATTTTTCATTTGCAAATAATACAGAAGCTCTATGGAATTTGCATAGTGGGTTCTTGGGGTCAATGTTAATAGCTTTGTTTAAAGTATCCAAAGCCTTTTCAGATTTTTTCAGTGCGTGCTGGACCTATCACAGAAAGAGAGAGAGAGAATAATTTTAAAAAGGGAAAATAACAGCTCATCTGCTAGACAAGGACAAATCTACATTTACTTACAATCTGTTCCTTAAAAAAACAAACAAAAAACAAAAAACAAACTGCCCAATTCTAGACCATTCTTAACAAGGTTTCTTACAGGAAGAAAACTTCACCTCGCCCTGTCCCCACCTCAAATTATTCTCCCCACCCAACAGAAATCATTCAACCTTTGGCCAGGAGCGAGCTCAATGCCTTCCTCTGTATGGAAGTGAGAAGCAGCCACTGTCCCTGGAGAATTTAACACAACTTTGCTGAAGCAGCTGCCTTCTGTGCCTTGACATAACGTGGCCTGAGCAGCAAGTTGCCACACCTACAAGTGACTGGAATGAGGGCAATGCGGACATACGGCCAGGACAAAAATCCTGCACTCCGGAAGGGGAGACAAGTGCCTTGGCATTTCATAGAACTGGAAGTGCTGGTGCAAGTGCATGCAACAGCAGTTAAACAATTTCTTATGTAGTAAGCACAAAAACCCCCCTATAAATACTCTGCTCACATTAATATCTGCACAGTCTTGATTTTCACATCCCTATTTTGGCTGACTGACAAACATGACCTAACAGCACAGTTTCATTACTGGCTGGAAGTAGTTTAGAGAGAGAGGAGGGTTTCTTTTCTGACTCATTAATCCTGTGGTTATTCATCCACACGGCACTTATGATTGTCCAAGACTCTAAATTTGTTGGGTTTTTTTTGCTAAAAACATTCAGAATGACTTTTTCTACTGCAAACAAAGTACAGAAGCAGGTTAAAACACCAGGATAGAGTTAAGTGCGATCTACTTACGACTCCAATGTGACACAGTAAGACTGAGCTCTGAGGATTGATATCAAGTGCTTTCTGGAAATGCATTTCTGCTAGACTGAATTTTTCCTGTTTGTAATAAATCATTCCCAACCCATACCTGCAAACAGAAAAAAAACAACTCTGTTAAGTAAGACCAAATTCTAATCAAACAGTCTTAGTCAGCGAACATGACCTGGCAGAAATGGTCTATAGACTTGTCAACCCCATCCAGGGTAGGAAAAAGCGATGTTTAAAATTATCTTGGTTTTTTTTTTTGCTCAGTTGGGTAGTTTGAAGAATTGATATCTGATAGAAGATTGGCTAAACAGCTACAAAGTAAAAGTATACGAAAGTTTCTCAAGACGAAGTGACTTACGCTAGCAGATCTAACTTTTACAGCTTTATATATTTTTTTCTACAGAAAAATCTGTAAGAAACTGACTGTATCCTAAGGTATAAAGGGGCAGATCTCTCATGTCTCCAACTGCAATTGAAGAACAACCAACTAGATGCATGAGGAGTGCTGCAGAGAACAAAATAGATGGGGTAAAGCCAAAAAAATCTGTGGAAACAAAAAAAGCTCCAATTTTTTCCTCTCCTTGTGGAAGTAACCACTTAATAAATAGATGAGGCCCAGATCTCCTGCACAAATAGCTTTGCCCTCCTCTTTAAGACAAGAGTGGTTGGGAAACTACAGCAGTAGCAGCATCCAGAAGATATTTCTCCAAAAGGAGGAGTTCTGTATCCCACGCAATAGGAGGGTGATGAAGCAAAACTTACCATGCGTTATAGTGTCTAGGGTTGACTCTGATTGCATTTCTGAAACAGGCTAATGCTTTGTCTAGTTCTTCTGTTAACACAAATTCGTGTCCCAGCAGGGTGTAGGCATACGCGTAGTTCGGATCAACTTGGATGGCTCTCTGGAAGAACTTGATTGCAATGTCATGCTCTCGTTGCAGGCTGAAACAGTTTCCTGCAGCACACCATGCCTGGTGAAGACAGCATTGCAGAATTAGCACAGTTTTTACAACTCCAAGTGACCAAGGTTGAGCTGAACAGATTTTTCCATGCTGATTTACATAATTATATATAACTTCCTCCTAGATTAAAAAATAATAATAATAAGACAATTATTTAAGTCTCATTCCTGAGAGGCAGATGCTAAACAGACAAGCTAAAATACAGAAATCGAGAATCTAAGGACACCGAACAAGTTTGTGCCAATTAAGATACTTTGATGACTAATGACTAAAGCTTTTGAAGCTGTTGAAAAGGCTCAAAATAATACATCTTAGATATTTAAAAGTAATATGACTAAAGCTTTTGAAGCTGTTGAAAAGGTTCAAAATAATACATCTTAGATATTTAAAAATAATGAAGGGGGAGAGTGTATATTCACTCTCATTCTTCAGCTCCCTCCAAGTGACAAATCTGGAAATCTGCAGAG